AGCTCGAGAGCCCTGCAAAAAGCACGCTGCGTTCCTCAGTCCCCAAGGGTCGATCCAGCAGAAAGCTATAACACAGCCGAAACTGCCACCTTCAATCTGCGCTTTTCAACCCCCGAAAACTGATGCTGGCCTGCAAACCGGTTGCCCGGCAAGCAAGTTTGACTTCAAGCGTTTCCCTTCCAACAATTTCACGTACTGTTAACTCTCTTTCCAAAGTGCTTTTCATCTTTCCCTCACGGTACTTGTTCGCTATCGGTCTCTCGCCAATATTTAGCTTTAGAAGGAATTTACCTCCCATTTTGAGCTGCATTCCCAAACAACTCGACTCTTCGAAAACGTATCACAAAGCACCGGGCATCTGCATCACGTACGGGGTTCTCACCACTATGACGCTGTATTCCAACAGACTTCTATGCAGTCCGGCGCGGAAAACGTTTCTCGAGATTACAACTCGGGTACTGAAAGTACCAGATTTCAAATTTGAGCTTTTCCCGCTTCACTCGCCGTTACTAGGGGAATCCTTGTTAGTTTCTTTTCCTCCGCTTATTGATATGCTTAAGTTCAGCGGGTAGTCCTATCTGATTTGAGGTCTAATCTTAAAAGGTATGTCCAAAAGGACTGATTAGAAGCCTTCGGTAGACATATGGTCGGCCAAGCGCGAAGCTTGTCCTCAGCGAATAATCTATTACGCCGAGTCAATCCGATCAAAGTCGAGAAAGCTAATGCATTACGAACGAGCTTTCCAAAAAGAAAAGCAGACGCTCAAGATCCAAACACCACGGCAGTTTAACTAGAAACCGGTGGGTTGAAGAGTTCATGACACTCAAACAGACATGCTCTCCGGAATACCAGAGAGCGCAAGATGCGTTCAAAGATTCGATGATTCACTGAATTCTGCAATTCACATTACTTATCGCATTTCGCTGCGTTCTTCATCGATGCGAGAGCCAAGAGATCCGTTGTTGAAAGTTTTGTTTTGTTTTATATTTTATTGACATACATCAACTCGTGTTTAAATAAAAATCTTGGGTTCGCCTAGCGGCTCGCCAAGAATTCTAGGTGCACAGTGTGAAAAGTGAGAGGTCGCGATCCGGAGATTCGCTGAATTCACTAATGATCCTTCCGCAGGTTCACCTACGGAAACCTTGTTACGACTTTTACTTCCTCTAAATGACCAAGTTCGTACAACTTCTCGGCAGTCAGGTGCCCTCGCGGGCTCCCGATAGCCAATCCGAAGGCCTCACTAAGCCATTCAATCGGTAGTAGCGACGGGCGGTGTGTACAAAGGGCAGGGA